ATTTCAATAGTAAGTTGACTATCAGCTTTATCCTCTCCTGGAACAGTTGAATTCTGAGAAAAATTCTCCAACTTTTTTCGTTTAAGTTCATCCTAAAAGAAAATTTAAAAAACATAACAAGGAATTAAAATTTTATAGATATAACAATAAACTTCATCTCATATGAATCAAAAAACAACTCTAAACACATAAAAACTAGTCAAATTTTCATGCAAAAGGAAACCCAATTAATATACAACTTTTTTTTTAAATGGAAGAGATTAATATAATTTTTTTTAAATCCTGGAAAATATACCACAATACACAAGATTATATTTGGAAATAATCACAGTCGAAACTCATGTAAGAAGCAACAGCAAGAGAATCAGCCTAACCATGACAAGGTTGAAGACAATAAGGTAGCCTTTCTTTAGCTTTCGAGAAAAAGAAGGAAGTTTCTAGGTTTGATATCTCTATAGACGACTCCCTACATTAATTGAGTTTGAACTTCTTTATGAAAGCACGCAAGTGCCTTGAACATGCAATATGCATACCACTAAAGCTCATTGTATCAATTTCTCTTTTCAAAACCTACACATTGCAGTATTTTCAATACAAAATTAAAAAAATAAAAAATGGTTTAAGAGGTAAATCCATTTCACACAAAAATTAATTTCTTTTTTCCAGAATCTAAATTGAGAAGCTAACATTAGCTACATCAAAGATGAAGTCCAGAGAGAGAACCTAAGTTGAGAAACATAATATTGAAAGATGCTGAAAGGGAAATACATTTCATGGTTGATTCATTGAGTAAATCAAAATTTTGAAAGCTCTAAAACCAAAGATAATTTTCTTTTCTCAAAGTAAAATATAAATAACAGACAATTTCAACAGTTACCATATAGGTATCTCATGCTCAACATGTTCTAAAACAAAGCAATCAGTGTTCCACTTTTGAAAGAACCTTTAAACTTTATAATAAAGGTATTACTCCTGAAGCATGATAAATTTAAATTAAAATAGTAATTCGTGTAAAAGAAGAAAGTTAAACAATACTATAAAAAATAATATGATTAAATATAAAAACTGTTAAAATTTTTATTAGATAAATTATCGTTTTAGGCTTTTTACAAATTAAATATTATTTTATGAGAGAAAATACAATTTTAAAATATATATTTAATTTTTGAAAATAATGATCAATAAATTTTTATTATTCAATACTTGAATTTCCATTTATTCAATATTTTAATTGGTAGTAAAGTTGTCCCCCTTTATTAAGTATCAAAATTAACATGCAACAATTATAAACTTGTTATATTCATAATCAATATTATAAGTAATTTAGATTTAAAATTTTTAAATCCATAAAATCACTTTTAAAATAAAATAATAATATTTTTATTTATTTAATTATTTAAATTATTTTTTGATAATTTACAAAAAAGTAATTTAAATTATTGTTATAAATATTTATTTAAATTGATTTATATAACTTGATCACAAGTATCAATTTCTTTCAAACATAACTTGTCTTATCATAACTATTCCTAATCATAGTTTCTTGAGTAAGAGAATACCAACAACAGAATAACCAAAGTGTACAATTAGAAACTGACGGTTTCCCAAAACAGAAATTATATGCAAACAAATTGAATCTTTTTCTCATTTGAATTCTCCAAAAGCCACCATAAAGTAAACCACAAAAACAAAGGATGATTCCAATAGCTATTACATCTTATCTCTAAAAATGAAATCCAACACATAATCTATCTTAGCGTGTAGCAGCCATAAGAATAGGATACTAATACAAGTTCCAACTGATAAACAAAAAGACATGACAAAGACCACATGCTCATGCATGATAGAACAAAACAGACAAAAACAATATCAAAGTTAAAGACTCCAATAATTAAGAAACACTGAACAATGCATCATATAGTAGGAAAAACCTTTAACGATGCATCATATAGTAGGCACAAATGCGCCAGCAGTCTCGTTGTTTGGATGATAAAGATAGGCGAAATCCTGAATCAGAGTTGACAATCGATGTTAATTATCATGCTTCTGCTAAAAATTGAAGTCTTAATTGGTTGATTATATTAGACCTGAATGTTGAATGTAAGGGCCAAGATATAAGCCCATCTGAATACTGAAATGATGGCAAGGCTACCTAGTATTGCTATGGGTCCGTTCTTGTCCGTGCCTTTAGTTTCTTCGTTTAGATACGCTGCAACATAATATCTGTAGAGGGAATATTGGCTCACGAGAAACGATAGAATCACCGCATACAGGTTGCTTGATATTCCTGTTGTATTAGGTGCTAACTCAAAGATTGTGAATACATATGAAGCTGATTATGTAGTTAGTGCCACAAGAGGTAACATTATTACCATAACTTCGCCACCAAAAAAATTTTCCTGCAGTCACGATACTGTGCATTTACTAGGGCTGGAGAAGTTTTTGTTAACCGATCCAATCCGACCAAACCAAGAGGTCCGATAGAATACGGATCGGGTATGGCGGGTAAGCGGGTCACCGGTTGGCCAGAAATTGGGTTACAATGTTTTGTTCCGGTCTGTTTAAGATGCTAACTTTGGGCCCAACCCAGGAAGGAAATGTTTGATTTAGTTTGAACTGGGTTTCAGACACTATAGATGGTTTGTACTAGAATTTCACCCTTTCATCTCATTTCGGTTCACTTTGTTGTTTCAAGCGCCTCCGACCGTAGTTATTCATCCACGAGCGCCACCAAGCCACCCACAAACCACAACTGATCATGTAAGTTCTTTGTCTTTCTATTTCTCCTTCTCTCTCTTTCTCTCTTTCCGTCTCTTTCTCTTTGTCTCGATTTGTATTTGTTTGATGTATGCAAACTAATGTTTGATGTTTGATATTGAAGTTGTTTTTGCTGTGACTTTAACGAATTTTGACTCAACTTATTTATATATGAATTGCTCTTAGAAGTTGTTTAATTTTTGTGTAATTAGTGTTAAAATTTGTGTTGAAGTTTCTGAGAAATTAATGTTGAATTTTGCTTGTGTCAATGAAATGATGTGTGTTTTTATCTATGAAATTAGTGCTCTTAGAAGTTGTTTAATTTCTTATTAATTAGTCTTTGAAAATTTGAAATGATGTGTGTTTTTGAAGATTCTAATCACTACAAAGTTATAAAGAATTAGTGGCAGTATGTTTTTATCTAGCTTTTGATGAACATGCTTTTGAGAAGATGAAGTAGAGGTTTTGATGCATGGTGCAAGGAAACCAAGGCCCAAGAGGAAAGTGAGAACTTATAATGTCCATAAAAATATACAGTGGAACAACATTGCAGTTTATTAGAGTTATAACTTCCAATGTCTTATAAAGTGAGAATTTATAATATCCTGGAAAAATGCTTATGCTAATGGATTACTTGGAAACAAACCAGTCTCTGTTTTTCTAATAATAATTTAGATAGGTGTCACTTATGTTTATGTTGGGATTAACTCTATGCTTTGGAAATAGTGAGTATAAAAGTTGTTGTTGGTTTGTATTTGTGTTAGTGAGGATGATCGTTAGTGTGTATTTGTATTAGTTAGTGTGTATAAAACTTCAGTACTAATTGTTGATTGTTAATATGTTATTGTGTATTTGTGTGTATTAGTGAGTGTGTAAAAAACTTCGGTGTGATATATATATATATATATATATATATATATATATATATATATATATATATATATATATATATATATATATATATATAAAATAAACTAATACTATTTCTAATGTAAAATATATTTTACACAGTATTTGAACTAATGTTTTTCAAAACTGTATTAAAACTGTGAGATAGTATTGTTATAAACTGTTAGAACTATATATAGCATTGTAAAATATATTCTATACTAGTATATAGTTAAATAGCATTAGTTTAAAATACTAATATATTTAATTACCTAATGTATAATATATTCTATACTAATATTCTGTACTAATATGTTTGATTATTGTCTTTTTCTAACATAAATTTTTGCTTCATTTGTTTATAGATTTGATTTCAAATTGAAGGCAGTTCTCGAAATCTTGCTTTACTTTTTCAAAATTATTACATTTTTATGTTATTTGTAATGATATATTATTAAATTGAAACTATTAATATATGATATATGTTGTTGTTCTATTGCAGTTCTCGAATTCTTTGTTGTTCTATATACTGCTGTTCCATTAATACATACTTTAGGGTGGATGAAAGCTGGTATAAGCTGCTGTTTGAGACCTGTAACATACTATATATTGTTCTTCTATTGTAGTTTAAGACTTGTAACATGCCATGTATTGTTGTTTTGAGGATGTAAATATGCACTACAGAACCATGGCTTAAGTTTGTATGCTCTGCAGAACTACGGCTTAAGAACTACTGCTTAAGGATGTTAACACTGTAGAATTAGTGTTTGTGGAAAATATTGAGAGTTTTTATTTTGGTTGGCTGTAATATATTAATAGGTTGTATGTTGCCATCTGCTTGCTGCAGCAAATATGATTAAACTATTAGATAACAAAATGCCACAATGCTTGAATGCTTCCTTATTGTTTGATTTGTTTTGATTATTGGGAGATGGAACATGGAAAAGGGAACTTGCAAGGAACTGAAGAAGGGAGCTTGCAAGGTGCTGAAGAAGGGAGCTTGCAAGGTGCTGAAAATGCTAGTTTGCAATGGTTGAGTCAAGGTATGTGTTTGTGTTTAAAAGTGTTACCTTGTTTAGTATGTCAAAATATAGGATTGATTCTTTTAGTTTACCCAAATATTTCCAGTGCTGGAACATCCTGTTTCCCATGCTGAACCTACACAAGTAGAATATGCACTTCCTCACGTTCCCCCTGCTAGGAAAAAAAGACAAGTTAATGCTAGTGGAACTAGGAAAACTTCCTCTGTTTGGTTAGACTTTAACATTTTACCTGATGAACCTGAACCAATAGCCGCGTGTAAACATTGTCACAAAAGATACCGATGCGACCCTAAAACACATGGAACATCCAACATGTTAGCTCACTCAAAAGTGTGTCACAAAAACCCTAACCTTTTACAGAAAGATCCCACACAAAGAAACCTTGTAAGTGGTGATGCTGGTTTTTTAGGTTCAACAAGCCAAAGGTTCAATTCTCAAGCATGTAGGAAGGCTATTACTCCCTTTGTTATTCTTGATGAGCATTCCTTTAGAGTGGTAGAGGGTGAGGGTGTTAAGAAACTATGCAAACAACTACAACCACAAATTACTATCCTTTCAAGGAGGATTGTTGCTAGGGATTGTTTTCAACTTTACCTAGCTGAAAAGTTAAAACTTAAAGCCTTTTTTAAATCTGATTGTGCTAGGGTTGCTTTAACCACAGATTGTTGGACATCAATTCAAAATCTTAGTTACATGGCCATAATTGCACACTTCATTGACAATGCATGGATCTATCATAAAAAGATTATTAGTTTTAGTTTAGTTCCAAATCACAAGACTGACACCATTGGTAAAAAAGTGGAAGATGTTTTGAAGGAATAAGGGCTTAGGAAAGTGTCAACAATTATCCTTGACAACGCAACATGTAATGATGTAGTTGTTTCTTACTTGGGAAAAAGACTTAAGAGCAAGAATTCTTTAATTGGTGTCGGGAGTTTTTTGCATATGAGGTGTGTTGCCCATATCTTAAACTTGGTTGTGAGAGATGGACAAAAAGATCATGAGTTGGCTATTAAAAGTGTTCGCGATGTTGTTAGGTTTGTGAGATCCTCACCACAAAGAGCTTTGAAGTTTAATGAATGTATAGAAATTGTAGGGATAACATGTAAAAGAAAACTTGGCCTTGATGTTTCCGCACGATGGAATTCCACTTACTTGATGTTGGATGCTGTTGAGAAGTTCCAAACAACATTTGAAAAGTTAGAGGATGAGGATCCTATCTACATGGAGTTTTTTGAACATTCTGGTCCACCTTGTTCTACTGATTGGGAAAAAGCTAGGGCTTTTGTGATTTTTTTGAAAACATTCTATGAAGCAACCAAATTGTTTTCATCTTCGTAAGAAGTGTCGTTACATTTAGCCTTTCATAACTTGTCTGATATTTTGTGTAAGCTTCAAGAAGCATCCTTGAACATGAATACCTATGTGGCTCCAATGGTTTCTAATATGAGGACCAAATATGATAAATATTGGGGAGATGTTGAAAAAGTGAATCATTTTATCTATTTTGGAGTGATCTTTGACCCTAGGTTTAAGTTCGGTTATGTTGAGTGGTCTTTCAATGACATGTATGGGGTTGGTAGTGAACTTGCTAAGAAAAATGTTGAGTCTGTCAAAAAAAGTCTATATAAACTATATAATTGATATAAATTTGAGCATGATAAAAATGTCGGGGCTGCCCTCTTAGATGCACCATCCGGGAGCACTTCCCATGGAGAAACATGCATCCAAACTAGAAAATCATCACTTTTTACAAGGGCTGATGCTTTTAAACAACACTTGAAAGAGAAAGACACGGTTGATAATCAAAATGAACTAGAAAAGTACTTAGGAGACCCTTGTTGGGGAGATGCTGGAAATTTTAACATTCTTAAATGGTGGAAGGAGAATTCCACATATTATTCTATATTACCTACTTTGGTTAGGGAAGTTTTGGCAACACATGTTTCAAGTGTAGCATCCGAAAGTGCTTTTAATACTAGGGGGCGAATTTTAGACATGTATCGGAGTTCTTTGAGTCCGGTAATGGCTGAGGCGCTTATTTGTTCTCAAAACTAGTTGATGCCTTCTAACAAGAACGACTCAAGAGTCCTTGATCTGCTTGAAGAATATGGCATAACTGATTCTATAGTTTCAGGTACTTTATGAAACAAAACTTTATATTTTTTAATATTATTTTAATAACTTTAGCCTCATTATATTTTTGGTATCTTGCAGAGTTTCGTGTAGGTGTTACTATTGGAGCAACTGCTCCTGGGCAGGCTGGGCCTGTTTAAATCACCTTTAGGTATATGCTGAGTTTTTTCTATTGTATATGCAGCCGCTATATATATATATATATATATATATATATATATATATATATATATATATATATATATATATATATATATATATATATATATATATATATATATATATATATATATATATATATATATATATATATATATATATATATATATATATATATATATATATATATATATATATATATATATATATATATATATATATATATATATATATATATATATATGCAGCAAACATTCTATTGTACTTGCAATCATACTAAACCATTTTTTCTCTTGTACTTGCAGCCACTTTTTGAATCTTTTTGGAGTCTTGAATGACTCATAATATTAAAGCCATTATAATTAGTAAATCAGTTTTGAAGCCATGACTCGTAAAATTTTGGGGCAACCACTATTGGTAGCAATTTTGAAACGGTATCTTCTAAGGTATGTTGCTTGAACAAATGGATATTCAATTGCATCAAAATATTTTATATGTGATGCATTATCTGTCTCTCTATAGCCCTCACTTCTTCAAACTGCATATTGCAATATTAATGCTCAGTGATTCCAGAAACAAGAGTTTTTCTACTGTACACCCTCTGCATCCTTTTGTTGGTCTATATATTTTAGATGTTTTGTTAATGCCTTAATAACTACTGCAACTCATGTTTCTACTATTCTTGTGATTTATCCCACTGCAGCTCATGTTTTTAAATATGTTTTAATACAGTGACAATGCTGTGAGTTTACAGTCACAATGCTTACTTGTGCCCGCATTGGGGCTGTTCATTCGGTATCACACTAACACCTTTTTGTTCTTGTCAAGTTATTTCTTGTTTACTTATGTTTTCAAACATATCAGATTGTTTGATTTGTTAATACTGCTAGCTTTTTTATTTGTTTAGGTTGTATTTGCTGGTTTTTCTTCAGAATCTCTTTCACAGAGAATCATTATTGTAAGCCAAAAGTTATAATTACTTCAAATGTTGTTAAGAGGGGCTCTAAGGTTATCTATCTTAAAGACATTGTTGATTCTGCCATCAGCGATTCACCTATTCCTTTGCTGAAGTCTTATCTGAATGATGCTAAGAAAACTTCTACTCCAGTCAAGAGTGTAAACTCATCTTCCACTACACAAGTAAGTTTTTCAGTGTCTACTATATTAATTGACCATTCCTTGTGTTATTTTCTTTTAATGATTTGAACAAGTGCTATGAACTAGTATTATATAGTTCTTCTGACTTTTACATTTGTGTATAACCAACCTTATATGTACTAGTATTACTAGAGTTGCTGACAGGTACCCTCAATATGTGTATAACCAACCTTATATGTACCCTGGCCCAAATGAAAATCACTGCACCCCTTTCCTGAGTTCGGCAACCTATAATGTCTCTCCTAATCCTGGAATACTTGTAAGAAAACCACGAGCTTTGCACTAAATATAAGCCAACACTTAATGTTGTCCAGAAGGAGATGCTGACGAGAACTTGTTTTCCTCATAGATGCAAGAGTTATGCACTAATCATATGCACCAAAGAGTTGCACAAATTTCATATTGGTTCATGAACTCGTTTGCTTTCCTTCACCAAAAACTAGTGAGCTAGAGTAGAAAGTATACTATCATATTATGGTTGCGTTGGAAGTGGTTCCCCTGTTTTGTTGCTGCTGTTTAACATAGGAATTGATAAGTTTTAATTGATGGGGTTGATCATAACTATAATCTTGAGCATGTATCTGCCGATAGATTTACGAATAATTCCTTCATGCACAGGTACCCTCCTGGCCATGGAGATGTCTTCCCACCACTAATGAACAGTGGAAAACTTGATGCACTATTATCACAGGTTGAAGCCAGAACCTAATTTATTTCTAGTTGGACCTTGTATTTTATTTTTTTTATATTTAATACATTATTATCTTTTCTTTTTTTTACTTTCTTACAGGGTAAGGAGTATGTGTTCGTTGCTAATTTAGATAACTTGGGTGCCCTAGTTGATTTGAGTATCCTTCCTTATGTTTTTATTTTCTATTACGCTTTGGTTGTATTGCTTGTTTTTTATTTATACATGAAAAGGGTATCTCTAGTACAGCAGTATCCTTGACTGGTTAATCAAGAAATCTTAAGTCATTTGATTCAGAACAAGAATGAATATTGTATGGAGGTAATTAAAGATGGTTGTTATCAAGAAACTTCCCTTTAGATTTAAACCTACATAATATTGATTTTTTTTCTTGGTGCTTGTAATGCAGGTGACTCCCAAGACATTGGTTGATGTGAAGGGTGACACTCTTATTTCTTATGAAGGAAGGGTTCAAGCACGTATCTGTTGCTCAATTCATTTCTTCTCAACCAAAATTTATTTGATTAAGTCAGTAATCTGATTGTAGTAAATGTCTGAAGTCCCTCTTTTTTTAACTTTTCTCCCTCCTTATTTTTCTTAACCTTTAAATAAAATTAAGAAAGGTATGATCAATTAGAATCTTAAGGTATTGATGCTAAGTGACATTATCTTTGATTGTTTAATGCAGCTCCTGGAAATTGCCCAAGTCCCAGATGAACATGTAAGCCACTAAATATGTCTTGTATTCTTTCTTAGATCATCTCCCTTAACCAAGTGTAGGCACTAGGTAATTGTTTTTGTAAATTATAAACCATAAGGATCTTTGTTAACTATGCTGGTTTTTATGACTAAGAATGAAATGACTCACTTGCTTTTAAATAGCTACATTTTGTTGGCTTTTAAGGACTTTTAAGTTGAATTGGTGCTAATGAGTTGCCAAATACTTGCTTGGCTGGAAAGCTCATGGCCAGGTAAAACCAATTTTTAATAATAGAACAGGAAAGGAAAAAGACTATAATTGCTTTCATTTTGAAAAATAACACTATTTTTTTAATAATAGCTCCTATGTTGAGAAAACAAAAAGCCTATTGAATTATACAGGACATGGCCACATCTTATGAATTAGAATCATGAATTGTCAATGTTCTATTTTAAAGGTTTATCCACCATTGACATTGGTAGCACAACGTTCGGAATGACGACCCCTTAATTAGGATTTAGAGTGGGAACTGGGAAGTGAGTGGTGTGATGTTCAAACACACATTTGCAGTTTTTATTTGGTTTATCTGTTACCATAAGAAGTAATAAAGTGGATGAGGCTTATATTATTGTCTTTGTGCATAAATATTCTGACATGGCTATGTAACTGTAGCAGAAGTAATTAATAACATGAGTTTCGTCTTCTATATTTCTGAAAGCTACCTAATTGTTGCACCTTATATGTATTCACTGATGCTATACTTGTTTAGTCAAATTTCTTCTGCTATTTCGAACAAATAAATTTGTTTTTGATGATAAGTAAACGCAAAATTTGAAATTCTGTTAATGGGTGCCGGATATGTTTTGAATGTTTGCGGCTGTGGCTCCTATAATGACAACAATTCACATTTTTTGCTACTTTTGTTACTGATGTTGCAGGATGTCATTCCCCAATATCCAACCACTTGTCTAGTCGAGTGGC